GGAGACAGATGATGAACTTGATGTAAATGAACCTGGGTTTTGATTCAGATGACTTATGTTATCTGCAAAGTGATGTATAAAGGTGAAGAAGGAGACATTTTGTATGGCAATAATAATAATAACTCGAGTGTACCTTCTTTGGTCTCTGATTTGAATACTGTCACAGCGATTAACACAGCGCCTGAGGTGAGTCCAGTTTACGAGATGTTTCGTTATTTGTTAGTATTGGATCTGTTTCTTTACTCTCTCTTTACGTATTCAGGTTGAGCAACAAGGTGAAGATAATTTACATTCTTGGTCTATGGATGATTTGTTAAACCTGATGAACGAACAAGAGGATCTCTCTCCGTCTTTAGGATTCAATCCAGACACGTTCTTCAGCGACTACAACAACAACCTTAACGTGCAGCCACAAACTCCTTACGATAATGGGTATCGCAATGGAGTGATGGGTTTTAACGGAGAGGGTATTGAGGATGTATTTTCTTATGAACTCGAAATGCAAGAGAACCGCAACAATCACATGGCAAAGAAACCTTTAACAGGGGTCATTGTTGATTACATCAGCGATAGTGATGCTGAATTGATATCTGCAACGGTAAAACACAATCACTCATTATCTTTATCAATGCTTTCATGGGAGCTACTTTCTGTATTCTCAGCTTTTTCAGTTATTAGATGAACAGAGTTACCAAGGAACATCAAGTCCAAGTTGCTCAAGCACAGACTCTTGCAAAGATCTAAAAACTTCTGAAGATCCTTCAATCAATCGAAAGAACCGGGAATCTCAACATACCATCAAAACAAGAGGTCTTGAGTTGCTCTTATGTTCCATTTTGTGGGTGTATTTGTATCTTATAATCTCTTTTCACATATGTTAATATTTTTTTCAGGTGAAACAAGGCAAGTCTAAAGCGGGTTCTGCATCCATAGAGAAGGGGTCATCAATGGCGAAGACAGAGAAGAAGGGCTTGTTTATTACAGAGGAAGCAATACAGAGAAACCGCGGTATATCTATCTCATGATCATGATCATTGGCTCCATTCTCTTGGTGGCTTTCTTGGCAACATCATACCGGTTTTACTAACCGCGAAAACTTGAACCCGCGGATTGAAGTTTGATCGCTAGAAGAGGCATTGCAGAAGCAGAACGATCGAATCACTCGTTTTCAAATGAGAATTTAGGGTTTATCGACTGAAGAATCGAAAACCTTAATGGGCCTAGGCTTGGGCCCATTATACTAAAAATCATTTTCGTATACTTCTGTGCTAAACGACGTCGTGTTCATTTTGTAGCTTTTGTCTCCGTATCAGCTGTTATTTCCGGTCTATCTCCGGCGACAAAACCACCGTTTACACAGCTTTGTAATGTTCTTCTCGTCTCGTCTCTATCCAAGACCTTGTCTCAATCAGGTACACGGAGTCTCGACGCGGATTCGATTCCGATTTCGGTACCTGTCGTCCTCCAGATCCATCGAAGAAGCTAGATTTCTTCCGATGGTGTTTTTCACTCCGTCCTGGATACAAACATTCAGCATCAGCTTATTCTCAGATGTTTCGCACTGTTTGCCGGACAGGGATGGTCGGAGAAGTTCCCGATCTGCTTGGTTCGATGAAGGAAGATGGCGTCAATTTGGACCAGACAATGTCTAAGGTATTGCTGGATTCCTTAATCCGTTTGGGTAAGTACGATTCTGCGTTAGGAGTTTTGGATTACATGGAGGAATTAGGAGATTGCTTAAACCCAGTTTTATATGATTCTGTTCTTATTGCTCTGGTGAAGAAGAATGAATTGCGTCTTGCTTTGTCCATTTTCTTTAAGCTTTTAGAAGCTTCTGATATCAATAGTGAAACTGGTGGGGTTAGTGTAAGTTATCTTCCTGGAACGATTGCTGTGAATAGCCGATATGCTGGTGGGGTTGGTAGGTCTAAGAAAAGCCGATATGAGAATGGAATTCAAAAGGGTTATTGATAAGTTAAAGGGAATGAAAAGATTCAAGTTTGATACTTGGGGTTATCACATATGTATTCATGGATTTGGTTGTTGGGGAGATTTGGATGCTGCATTGAGTTTGTTTAAAGAGATGAAGGAGCAAAGCTCGGTCTCTGGATCTTCTTCTATCGGTCCTGATATATGCACGTTTAACAGCTTGATCCATGTGTTGTGTTTAGTTGGAAGAGCGAAAGATGCTTTGATTGTATGGGATGAACTGAAAGCATCTGGCCATGAGCCTGATAATTCGACATATCGTATATTGATTCAAGGATGTTGTAAATCTTACCGGATGGATGATGCAATGAGAATTTTCGGTGAGATGCAGTATAACGGGTTTGTTCCTGATACTATTCTGTATAATTCCCTTTTAGACGGGACGCTCAAGGCAAGAAAAGTCACTGAGGCTTGTCAGCTCTTTGAGAACATGGTTCAAGAAGGAGTTAGAGCTTCCTGCTGGACATACAACATTTTGATTGACGGGTTATTCAGGAATGGAAGAGCCGAGGCTGGGTTTACTCTCTTCTGTTACTTAAAGAAGAAGGGTCAGTTTGTCGATGCGATTACTTTTAGCATTGTTGTGTTGCAGCTTTGTAGGGAAGGGAAGCTAGAGGGTGCAGTGAAATTGGTGGAGGAGATGGAAACTAGAGGTTTCTCTGTGGATTTGGTTACAATTAGTTCACTCTTGATCGGATTTCATAAACAAGGAAGGTGGGATTGGAAAGAGAAGCTAATGAAGCACGTACGGGAAGGAAACTTGGTGCCTAATGTTCTGAGATGGAATGCTGGAGTGGAAGCTTCACTAAAACGTCCACAGAGCAAAGATAAGGATTACACCCCAATGTTTCCAAGTAAAGGAAGCTTCCTAGATATCATGAGCATGGTTGGTTCAGAGGAAGATGTAGCTAGAGCTGAGGAAGTTACACCTATTGAAGATGACCCTTGGTCATCATCTCCGTATATGGATCATTTGGCCGAGCAGAGCAATCGACCTAAGCCCTTGTTTGCTTTAGCCAGAGGGCAGAGGGTTGAAGCAAAGCCAGATTCTTTCGACATAGACATGATGAACACCTTTCTATCTATTTATCTGTCCAAAGGCGATCTCAGCTTAGCCTGCAAACTGTTTGAGATATTCAATGAAATGGGTGTAACTGATCTCACGAGTTACACCTACAACTCCATGATGAGCTCATTCGTGAAGAAGGGTTACTTCAAAACCGCTCGTGGAGTGGTCGACCAAATGGGTGAGAACTTTTGCGAAGCGGACATTGCAACATACAATGTAATAATCCAAGGATTAGGAAAAATGGGAAGAGCAGACTTAGCGAGCACGGTTCTCGACAGACTCACAAAGCAAGGAGGATATCTAGACATTGTAATGTACAACACGTTGATCAACGCGGTGGGGAAAGCAAACCGGCTAGACGAAGCAACACAACTGTTTGATCACATGAAGAGCAACGGAATAAACCCGGACGTTGTGAGTTACAACACGATGATCGAAGTGAATAGCAAAGCAGGGAAATTGAAAGAAGCATACAAGTACTTGAGAATGATGCTAGACGCGAATTGTTTGCCTAACCATGTAACCGATACAATCCTAGATTATCTTGGTAAAGAGATGGAGAAATCAAGGTTCAAAAAGGCTTCTTTTGTACGAAACAAACCAAACAATGATTCTTCTTCTTCTCCCTCTTAGTTTCTTTGTAATGTCAGTCAATACAGAACAACTTTTTGTACGAAACAAAACCAAAATCAAAAGATTATATAAACAAAAGATTTTCAGTAGTAGCAAAATCTATCAAAATCAGAAGAGTCCTAATAGAATAGAGAGCCCAAGAAGCATTAACCAAACAATGTGAATCAAAAGCAGAGCTTGTCCAGGAACAGACAAACCAACACCATTACCAACATCACAAGCACCTTGTTNAGCAACACCAACACCNTGACACAAAGCATCTGAACAACCGCACCAGTAAGTAACGCTGTCTTCACCACAAACCGGATCAGCCCGAAAACACTTAACCGGACAAGAACCCGGTTTAGCAATTCCTT